CAGTCTCTCAGACTACGCCTGCATGTATATTCGAATTATAGATGATTAATGAATTGCAAAGGATATCGAAAGAAGCCATCTTTGTCTAATTTAAGGCACTATCCTGGTATTTACCTGGAGGGACGCAGGAAAATCACTTAGAACTTCTCGTATAGCCGGTCTTCGAGTCGAGGTTAGACTCCAGGACCTCCTGAATACGCTCAAAGGCATCCACGTGAGGGATCAAGACGTCCAGTTATCGAAAATAATCACACTGAAGTGAAGTGGAGTGAAGTGTGAGGTGCGGAACTTACCGCGTGTATGAGAGTGCGCTCCGCACTGTTATTGTTATAAACCTTTCCTTATAAACTCTTCTTCCAGTGCCTGCCAGAGGGTTGTTGGTAGGATGAATTTATAGCAGGGGAACAGGGTTAGCTCGTTATAAATTAATTTCACTTAAAGATGCTGAATTTTGTTACTCTCGCCATTTGGAATTGGCATAATTGAAGGCTTTAAAATAATATGAAAGTGTACCTTCTAAAATGCGAAACGTTATAGGAAAATGATTTATATGGGAACTCAATGCTTTTTTGTCCTCCCAGTCATTTCAAGCTGACGACGTACAAATATCTCAGAATTCTTAAGCTGAAGGCAACAGCAGGGATGAAATGTATGTGATTTCGGCTTTGTTCACACTTTGCCATGTGCTTAGCCGAATGATTCGCTTAATGGTGATGCGGGCTAATGTACCTTATACAGTGCGAAATAACACAAACATCTAAATATATATTTTGCTCATATTTTGGTATGGCGTTGTGCTGTGATTGCTAACTTACAATTCGAGGTATGTTGTTTAATTATCGAGTTTGCTCGTCAAAGTTGACTGTAGGAATCACATATTTTGCATTTGAGCTCCCAAAGGTTTGGACTGTTATTTGCCCCCTATAATACGAAAACGTCATCATCATCATCATCATAATCAACATCATTACATCACGACTTATGCCGTATGATCTGTACCGAATCCATTATTTTTAAAACCAGTTTAGAATTCGTTTACAATTGGTCGCTCCAACGTTTTTTTGTGCATTTAATGTTTTATCTGCCTGCAGGTTTTTGTATTCTGAAGGGTACTCTATATGAATCCATTCTAAAATTCTGGTTGAAACATTTGTTCCCGTAATCTGTTAGTATGTGTATGATATTTGAAAGAGTTCATGTCGAATTTATTTGTTTCACGGTAAAAAAAACGCATATTTCTAGTGGTCTTAGCAGATTCATTTCGGAATGTTGAAGGTGAAAATAGAACCGTAGTCGAAGTGGTGTACCTTACAAAGTTATGATTTTGTTATAGGTTACGGAAAACGAAGGCATGCAGGACAGTCCTCACTATTTACAAGTTGTACAAGGAATACTGTGCTTTACCTCTTTCTGTAAGACCAAGTCACCTTCAGATGTATAGTCTACTAATACGTACACGCCCAGTGAAAGGCATTTTATAGGAGTAGTGTATCACAGGCAAGGATCTGTTATGCTTTTTGTCTAAAAGTCTCAAGGACGCTGATTATGTTACAAATCTTATGTCAGCAGGTGTCGAAGCAATGGCTGTCGTTTGCTGGCGACTGTGCACCCATAAGAAAGTACCTCGCCTCTCGAAGTTTCGGCTCCTACTGGGCGCCAATCAAATTTCTTGACGCCCTTTTCAGAGGATATGGCCAGGTATATGAAAACAATAAAGTGTAATTAATTTATTGTGTATAGTGCTTCTTTCTTAAAAGCTGATAGTTATTCAGTTGGGAAAGAAATTTCTTGGTGTTATAGGACCAGAAGTTTCATCGCCGTAATTTTAAACTCCCTTCATTGAGCAGTGAGCTTATCTTGAGCCAGATGAATCCTGTACACCCTTCCTTATACTATTTCGCCATGATCCATTGTAATGTACTTTTTTGTACCGAAGTTTCTAAAGTTGACTTACCTTGAGATTTTTCGACAACAATTTTTAATGCTCTTCTCATTTCTCCCATATATCTTACTTGTCACTGTAAATATCACGAATCTGTAGCATTAAAATTAACTGGAACATTATAGTTGTCCTTTCAGTAACGTCTAACTTATTAGTTAAAATTAAAGATGCCACTTGGTAGTGGAGGATAATATTAAAATGGATTTTACAAGAATACAGTGTGAGAATGCTGATTTTATCTGGTTTAGGGAAGTGACCAATGACACGGTTCTGTGAACACGATATTGAACTTCCGGGTTCATATAAGATGGCACAGTCACCAAGTGAGAGGTTATTAACTTCCCTGGAAGGATTCTCTGCTGTATGAAGTTATTTTGTTTCAGTACCTGTCGTTTCCTATGTGTTTTGAAAAGTTATTGACATGTAAGGAGCTTCTTGCTTCAAAATATTTTCGTAATTGTAAATAATTTGATCTGCCAATATTTTTGATAACTTCATTACAGAATACGTTCGGTAAAATATAAGTAAAGGCAAAAAGACAAAGTTTTAGATCTCAATAAACTTATTATTTTTTCGAAACGTTTAACACAAAAACCCATAATTCAGTCTTAATTTTTCGACCATCCTCACAACCATCGTTAATTGAAACAATAGTAAACATGTCCTTAAATGTTATTCCTACAGGTGGTATTTGCCAACAACCCAATCAGCGGAATTTTAATCTTCATGGTTCTCACAGTGGCGGATCCCCTTGTGTCGGCTGCAGGACTCCTCACAGCGTCTGTCGGGTTGCTTGTCTCCATCATGGTAAGTGCAGAATTCTCTGCGTGGGCCCTGGACTGCTCTTGGGAAGACCGATTGTGTTGGTTCATCCCTGAAATTTTTTTCACAACACGAAACAGGCTCGTACTATTGGTTCTTTCAGGGCACATGAAAGTGGTCAATTAATTACACCGAAGTTGCATTGGCCATTTCCATTTATAAGGCCGTGGATCGGCTCAGCCTTCGAGTGTCTCTTATCGTCTCACCAAGTATTATGTAGAATATTATTCTCTTATAAATTTGTCTGCTACTGAAAGACGACATTTAATTAAACTTCGGTACTTTTTAAAAATAAAACAACATTTCAGAGACATTAACGTATGATTAGTTTCCACAATCCTTAACCTTTTTAAAAGAAGCTCTTTCCATTTTAACTTAGACAAACCTAAACCAAACTTTCTCATTTGTCTAAAAGATGACACAACAAGCGTAATTAAAATATAAATATAAATCACACAGTTTATATGTAACAAGTGTTTCTGAAAACACGCCGTTGCTCTACAGCAACAAGGAAAAATGTCAGTCTGACCACGCGTTATGTGATTTCAACGTTTCATATCTGCTGAGCGCCTATTTAAGAATATTCTCTGTGAGTGTAAACTGTTTAAAGTTGGAAAGTTACGATATAAACTGCAAATTTAGGAACTGTCTCTGGGTACATATCGTATATTTGAATGCTGGATAGAAGTCATTATGCATTTGGAATCGTCTGCGACCGGCCAACTCAAATATGGTCTTCGTGGTTTTCCTCATTATTTCAGGAAAAACTGAGTTTCGTACACCCTATTGCAATGAATATCCTTTTCAAATTATTCTATAAATTTCTCAGTTAATTATAATGAGCTAATGTTATCTTGCACAGAATTTAACTCTTCCTGACTCTTTTAGTTTTGTCCTCTACCTTTACTAGGACGAATGTGAATCGCCTGGGAACCTTTAGAGTCTGTAAAATATCTGCTATCCTTCGTAACACTTTCACTTCTCTCCCCTCTCTCTCTATCTATCTCTTCGGGAAAGGAAATTAACATCAAGGTGACTTTTACAAATTACAGATTGTTAGTATATATATATATTCGTTTTTGTATTTCTTGTCTTGTTTTTTTATCAATATATGAGACTTTGAGACTCGTTTTGACGCTCCTGTGACAATAAGAGTGTTTTCTTTGACTTCCATTCACTATATATTATGATGTTCACTAGAATCGTCTTAAGATACCATAGACTTTTCGACCAATCAGTAACTAGGTGCTGTGCTCTGTAACAGATACTCCCTCAGCCTTCAGAGGTCCTCGGTCAAGGTGTCACAGTGTTCAACTCGTTGCTTGTTGGACTGATTACGTCATCAACACTCCCTACGCGCTACGGTCTGGAACTCGAAACCTGGCACTGGTTTTCGATGATCATCGCATCCATCATAAGGTGACAAATTCTGCATTACTTTTAACTGTAGGCGTTTATCACACGCATACACAGAATATAGACACATGCACGTTTGAATTATACATACACACGCGTACACACGAACATTCGTACAAAGAATGTATGTGCACATACAGGGAGACTGGGAGTGAGTGGACGATGTAACAGAAAGTTGGAGAAAATTGCAGGATGAGGAACGCCATAATTTATTCTCTTCAACAGATATTCTTGTGGGAATGAAATAAATGAGAATATGTTGTTAGGGATACGCAGAACGCATGAGATACATGAAAACTACACGCAAGATGTTAGTCTGATAATCTGAAGGACTCAGTCTGCTTAGGGGCCGATAGATGAGATGATAAGACAGCGCATCCTGCCGTTGTTCAACGCTTCCAGCGAACGGTAAAACCGCGACCTTATGGGGAAAACGGGGTTAAGATTACCAAAGACACAAGAAACATTATTCTTAATATAAACGTAATTATTAATAAATATGAAAGCTTTAGCGTTGGCGTTTATTGGGATTACATTAGCGTTCCTGGCTGAAAGTTGTCAACGTGATGGAGCACAAGAGTAAAAACCAGTTCTAAAAACTGCGAAGACTACAGTCGAAGTACACTCGGTGCGGTACGATATCTACGTAGGAACTGATATAACCGGGCTGATGCAGGCTGTTGTATGTTAAGGGCCCCATATTTGATCAGTTAAAACGAGAATTATTTGCGTGACGTCATAACTGTGCAGTTTATTCAATTAAACGGTAGAGTATTTGAAACCAGTAAAACTGCCTTCATTATCAGAGTAAATTGCGCAGAATACAAGTGTGGCCGCAAGCCTCCTGTGTAGCGAAATAACTTCCCTCATATTCGCATTTCTTTTGCGATTCAAGGGAGGAATTTTGCTCAAAAGTGAATTAAAAATGTTGTCATACATTCTTAAGCAATTCTGACAATCCCTTTTTTTTGTTGAAATAAATTCATTAAGAAGGTTAACACCTCTTCTTAATCACCAAATTACACCAGATACTTATATTTAAGCAGAGATAAATTAAATATCAAATAAATAAGATCTTTTGCTTTTCCCATCTTTAAAAAGCAACATCGGCTAGCACGTCACTCAGGTAAATCAGAAGCTGTGACTAGAGAATGCACAGTTTTGTTTATTACGTCTGTGGGCTACGCTGCTCATTTCAATTAATTTGTGCATTTACTTAGCACAGTTTAACTGCGCATTTTGACTGATCGTCTGTGGGGCACTTTGAGTTTAGAAATGTTTAATACATTAGTTACGATCAAATTACGATATATGGGAAATGTTTTTTGGAGATTCCCATGGGTGGCTGTATTGATTAAAATATTTCAGCGTTGCGTCAGCGTAAGGACCATGAATATTTCCTCTCCAAAATTATCCAATCCCACTTTGATTTCCGGTACTGAGATTAAACCTGGACAGAGAAAAAGAGAGACATTCGAACAGACAGATGAATTGTGTTGTTCATACACAGGCAGTTTTGCAGCGAACAGTGACACGTCGTATACAGCAGGGGTCAGCAACCAGCGGCCAGCGCGTCGCATAAGGTCCTAGAAAAGTTTTTATGCGGTCTGTCACATGATTTGGGAATTGTCCAGAGTTTGAAGGGATAAAACATTTATGAAAATGAGTAGAATGGTGATACAAGTAAATAATTATATAAGCGTAAGGGCTAAAGACAAATTATATGATCACATCTCGGCATCAGAATTCAAAACAGAACCGGAATATGCTAGTGAATCTTCCGAAAATGTGACAAAATTCAAGTACTAGGGGACGACACTAAGAAGTCAGAATGACATTCATGACGAAATCAAGAGCAGATTAAATTCAGAGAATGCTTGCTATCATTCAGTCCAAAATTGTTGTCTTCCCGTCTTACATAAAAAAACTAAAGGTTAAAATATACAAAAGTGCAAGTCTGCCAGTTGTGCTGTAATGGTGCGAAACTTGGTTTCACACTTTTGAGGGAGGAACATAGATTGAGGGTTTTTGAGATCACAGTCTTTAGGAAGATATTTGGACCTAAGAGTGAGGAAGACAGATAATGGAGAAAATTGCATAATTATTATCTTCACAGCCCGTACTCCTCACGTGATATTGTTAGGGTGATTAAGTCGAGGAGAATGAGGTAGGCGAGACATGCGGCACGCATGGGGGAAGGGAGGGGTGTTTACAGCGTATTTGTTGGGAGGCCTGAAGGATGGAGACAGCAGGAAAGACCTAAGAGTAGGTGGGAGGATGACAGAAATCGATTGAGCGAACTGGATGCAGCTGACTCAGGAGAGAATCCGATGGCAGGCTTTTGTGGGCACGATGATGAACTTTCGTGTTCCATAAATAGAGTGGATTGTTCTTTGACAAGCCAAGTATACAATCGACTCTTCAAAAAATATCATGCACCATAGAGTGAGGGCTAAAACAATCACAAAATGTGCGTATACGTATTAATGAAACAAGCATGAATGTGTTACAGATGTAGGCCTTTAACGTTAAAACGACGTTACTGTGCGAAGGTACATTGTTCTATTGCTCGAACCATAGGGAAATTTAACATAAGAATATGATTTTCTATTAATAACTGGAGTTTTATAAAATTAAAAATGACTTGAAATGAAAGCTGTTTTAAGATAGCTGACAACGTATTTACAATAAAATGTTAAATAAATAAGTTTCGCTTACTGTTCCACGTCGTTATAAATTAATCCCTCGCCAACCGCGTGAGATCCGTTCCCGAAAAATAACAGAAATCGAATACAAAAAATTGCATAATAGTATCACACAAAAATAAAAATAGAAACAAACACTAAGGTGTTACAAAATTGGTAGTGGTTAAGTGAGTGATAGAAAACTGGTTTCGGACGCCGTTACCAACCTTCCACCAAAAATATGGTGGGAAGCCCCGTTTATTTCCGTGTGTACATAAATTGAACACCGCTGATACATCAAACAGAATACCATGATTGGAAGAAACTGTATAAATTGAGATCCGCAGTTGACGTAACAAAATTCTCGTTTTGTGTTCTGTAAATATCTGGGTGTTAACGTTGCCGTGCTATATGCCATGGCATGATTCTCATTCATTCTTTGTATGAATAAGAATCTGAGTGCATGTCACATTAACTTATTAACTACTGAAAACATGACAATTTGCTTTGCCCTGTTATTAGACTATTTTCCCTCTCCGGACGAGTGGAAAACGGATCGATATCACAAAAATGATAATATGAACTCGCATGAATATTCAATAAATTAACTTGCTACATGCTTGTTGACCGGGGTTCGATTCTCAGCAGAAACCTTTCTGTTCGCCAACACAGCCTCCTTCATAGCGTGTACAGTTGTTCTGTCCAGGAGCGGAGAGCAGTCGAATTGTGATACCGACCACGTATTGCTAGTAGTACCAGCCTGTGCGAATGTCTGAGGTGCGCCGTCGTCCCCCATATAAGTATCTTCATAACGTCTTGCTTAGATTCATACATAAGTTAACCTTTACCTCTGAATGAAGTTTGTAAACGCTAATATACTTAATTTGGGTATGACCACGTAACCGCAGGACTTGTGTTGAATAATAATTTGCAGTTCGCTCATATATCTAAGTTTCTATTTTGTTGCAGTGTGTACGTGGAATCAGCTATCAGCAACATTCTAGGATCTCTATGTCAATTTCCTTTGCCAATTCTCACGGTTCCGTTCAACATTGTCCAACCGTTGTTATTCCTCACCGTCATCAATATTAACACTCAACTTACCGCGAGCAACACAGTGGCAGTAACAACAGCCCATCACGTGACGCTCCAGCCTCCACCTCTTGTGCCGTCATCACTAATCATCGATCAGGTTCCTGGCGCCACAACGCAGCAGCCTCTACCGTTCTTCCCGAATTCTCTAACAGAGCCGAATTCTGCAAGTGTATTAATGCATGAATTGGGCACCCATAATAATGCGTTCGTTGCAGAAGTACAAGATTACCAAGATGTTAATACTCACACAAATTTCCAACACATCACAACGAAACCCAGTGAAATTTTGGATTTTGAAAACAATATCAAACACAGTCGAACCACGCGCGAAGATACGTTTGATGCAGACACTGAATCTGGCAAAGACTTAAATTTAAAGAATGATTCCAGGCTCAACGTGAATGAATTAGAGTATGTTGAATATCTGACAACGGCCGCAGATGATTTTCGCGAAACGGGAACTTCAGCAATTACCGTAATCCCAGAACAAAATCAGTCTACACCAGCAGAATTATTAAACGCTAGTATTTCTCGCTTGCAGTCCCATTCTGGAAAGGTAAATGACACTTATTCTGTTGGTAGTGTTGTGCAGTTATTGCAAGACAAACATAATTTTATAGTGGAAGAAGATTATGATGCTGGGATTCAGCTGAGTCCAATTACTAGTTCTATGGAGTCATCGACATCAGAAATTTCTCCATTATATTCAACGAACTCTGCCAATATCTTTGAAGAGGAAAACATTCCTGCAGATGAGGACGCAGTGAGTAGGAGGGTAAAGCGAAGCCTCTCGTTGGAGGTCACACCACACCAAAATGCCAGCTCTGATGTCATGGAACATATCGTAGACTGGGGAGGGGTAAGTTTAAACTCTTTGAAATATTCATATGAAACGTTTTACTTGAGGAAACTCACGAATCACACTCCAGATACGATAAGCAACAGTTTGCATTGTATAAATAAATACTGAACTACAGTTTTATACAGCACCGATTTACAACATGTCATAAATTACAGCACAAGTGATGAAACCTAAATTTAGTAGAACACAGTTAAATTTAAATAAATTCTGTCATATTACGTGAGGCAATAATTTTCTTTTTAAATCCTCGAATCATGAAGTTAATTTAAATAACACAGGGCATACCAATCAAAACTCAACTGTAACTGATACATACGAACACCTTTGTGCACAAAACGACAAAACCTCTTTTAATAACGAATTCTTGCATTCGTATCCCTTTGTTGCATCACTGCACTGTTGATGCATTGATTTAAATCGGTACAGCCGTAATTTAAGCTGTTTTGTCGCTCGATGAACACGGACAAACATTGTCGTCTCCCTAAAGTTCGTTACCAGTCGGTGTATTGTTGTTTTATTAGGTATTTTCTTGTCAGGATACGCAACAGCAGCAGAATATTTCCTTGTGAAATAATGTTCTAGAATGAAGACACTTTCTGCTCGTTAATACTCCATGTTCGCACCTGCAAGCTTTGCACAACTGGCGTGAGAGGCGGCCTAGCAGCGAGAATGACCTTGACCTGAGCGAACTTCATGTAAAATATTGTTTATACTGGACAGGCACAAACCCGACATGGAATATGCGGACGGATATACATACCTCCATTTTTGCAAAGAACACATTAAAAATACCACTAACATTAACATTTAACAGGTATATTTCTCCAAACTCTGATTTTTACATGACATTTTCCTTAGGTCAAGGAATCAAATGGTTTGCGACATTTCAAGAACCCTTTCATCATCTAAGTGTTTGTTGACAAAACACTGTAACTGACCCATCTGAGAATAGCTTATTTTATTGAGTATTTGCAATGTATTTTATTACTGTTTCAGTCTTTAGTGACTCATTCAAATCAGACTTTATTGTGCAGGTGTTCTCAGGGGTGGTGTTGTCTATGTCACAAGTGTATGGTGTCAGCCAGGCACCGACTGCCATCCTTATTTACCTGGCTGTGATCGTATATTCTCCTATTTCGGCAGCATTTGCGGTCCTTGGAGCGGCAATTGGCACACTTACAGGTAGGCCATGCGATTTTCAATTCCAGTGTTAAAAGTTCTTTCTTCAAACACCTACGGGTCCGACATGCACGTCGAAGAAATGCGCTCGTAATGAAGGCAATTCGACATTTTACTCACTACCTAAGACACAATTTAACTTTACAATCTCCTACGTTTACTTATTACATAGAAAGTTAGGTTGTTGGGACATTCGCATAAACAGAATAGACTCTTTGCACTCCCGTCTGGTATATGAGGAGTACAAGACGTGACAAAAAGTTATATTTTGTGGGCGAGAATACATAAGTAAATGACAATAAAAATTAAAATAAAAGTAGCGAATATTTGCAATTATCTCGGAGATGTTAGATGTTAAAATTTCTGAATTTGCAAAATATTATCTTGTCTTACCGACACAATTTACAAAGAGGGAAAGCCCAGAAATGGGTAGAATAAAAAACGGCAATATTGTAGATTTATAGACTTTTAAATAGGAGTGAAAACTGGGCAAATAAAATTAAATAATCGAAAATAAAAACAAGAATTACAGCCACTGAAATGAAATTCATGAGAACAGCTACACATGTACATATGACTATAAAAAGATCAAAGGCTTGTTGAATGAAGTAAAACGGATTACGCTGGACCAAATTTTGATATATAAAATCAGTTGATTTCGTTATGGGCTCAGGATGCAAAGAGACAGACTTCCAAAACGAATAAAGGTTACTACCCACATGCATTAAAGAACAAAAACGACATAAGTTGAGACTTTTGGACAAAAGGGGTTGGAACGAGCCAACAAGTGGCGTAGATCCTTGACTGCTGGATGATGATGATGATGTTGACATGTTTAAACAAGGGGACTGTCGTCGTGGTAGGTATATCTCAGCGGCTGTATAGTCGGCGCAGTAGTTTTTGGCCGGTGGAGAAGCTGTCGTACGGGCCTAGTCCTTGTACCTGAGGTGGCACGGTTAGCGTATTTCTTTTGTTTGGGCTTTCAGTCCGATAAGCTCCTCCGTGCAGTCATCGCACAAGTGACTCGCTCCTAGCCTTCCCCTTGAAAATTCCACCGGCCAAAAACTACTGCGCCGACTATAACCCAGGTCGTGCAGCACAGCGAATGTTCTTTTCTTTCGGTTAGGATTACTGCTGACGGATGTCGACACTTACGCCGTCGCTGGCGGGGTTTACGACGGTACGTGGGGGTTCAACGGGCTTCTCTCCGCAATGTGCCTCGGTGGTGTCTTCTTCGTGTTGAACTGGCCGGCTACGATTGCTGTCGTCTTGTGTTCATTCCTCTCTACATTCATTATGAACGTTTTGATCTCGCCGTTTGCTGAGGTAGGTTATCTTGCACTGCTTCAACTAAACCTTTTGCTAGCAGTATTATGACAATAATTAATAATTAATTTACACAGCTGATTTTAATTTTCACTTTGAATTTAAATATTAATTTATCACGCCTGACTAGTAATTGACAATAATTCGTTGGAGTCCAGTCCAAGATGTCGCCCTTACGACGGTCACTGAGTTTGTCATGGTTTTATTCAGCCATTTCAGACCAATATCTTTTAGTGAGTTGTATTACGTCGTACCTGCTTTAATTGTCTTTGTTTTTTCATGGTGTTTAAATATCGTGTCATTTAATTTGTTGTTACATAACCTCGGAGCTGACAAAACAAGTCTTTTAAAATTTGCATAAATAAACGATTTGTACATTTGTAAACAGTACAACAATATAATGCACTAGACTTTAAAAACGTCTGGAACTACTCGACAACATATAATTTCCACGATTTTTATAAAAACGAACGCATAATTTTAAGATCTGTTTGTCTGTCCGTTTGTTTGATATCTGAAAATAGGCGTATTTCGATGAAATGTTGTGTTTGGCATATTAAATAAATGTCAGGCGAATTTAATTTTTATTTCGCATGAAACTTAAATAGATTTTTTATGGATATTCTAAATATCAGCTTATCATGGTAACTAATTTCATAAAGCACATAATGTGGAGTGAACTGAAATGTAAAACATCTATTTGGAATACGTATTTTAGATACGATAAATAGGCTTATATAATGAAATCGAAGCAAATACGACGAATAATTTCTGACTCTTGTATCTGCTCGAAAACAGGTTTGCACATTCGAAATCAGATTCCGACCGGAATGCATACATTCTTCATCTGAACGCCATGTGCAGCCTACTGTATTGAACCATCTAGACAAGTAACACATTTTACGAACGTACGCAATGCTGTACAACTGCTCGCATGTGATATTCTTATGTTGGCCTCCCACATTCACCAGACGTAAATTTCGCACTCTTGTAAACAACTTCTGGAAATTCTTTAAGATGTTTCTGTTGTAGTTTGCATTGAATTATTACAGCTACTCTTAATATTTACGACATGCTAACTAACACAGAGAGCGGTGATTGAATAGAAGAAAAAAGAGAGATGCCCTAAGTAATTTGGTGCACTTTTCAGCACAAAACCAATATTACAATATTTTCTTGAAAATTTGACTTCTGATTCATACGTTCGAAATTCTTACAGAGTTAAGATATTTGGGAATGACAATACTACATCAAAATAACATTTAGGATGAGATTAATATCTATAATTCGGTTCGAAATATTTATCTACCTGCCTGGAAATACAGATAAAGATTAAGACACACAAAACTATGTAGCCCGTAAATTTTGCCTTTCAAACGATTGTGTTCGGGTGTGAAACTTTGTGTCCCATCCCAAGGGAAGAAAAAGGAGAATAGAGCAAACTGCAAAATGAGGACTTTAAACTTTGTACTCTTTGTTAAATCAAGGAGGATTATATGGCAGGACATACAGCACGCATGGCGGAGATAATAAAATCATAGTAAAAGTAAAATCTGTCCCACCACACGCCACGTAGGCATGGGGGGAGAGTTGGTACAGCTCCTACTCATTCTTGACCTCGATACTAGATGCGGGTGAGTTGTCAGCATCACGCCTCGGCCGTGCTTTACCCCCATGAAAGGACCCCGGTACCCATTGTAGAGGAGGCTGGATGGGCCCCGGAACCGGTCTGGAAGCAGAGTCTAGAGGAAAAATCCTCTTCTCCCGTCGGGGATCGAACCCCGGTCGTCCAGCCCAGAGCCAGTCACTATACTGACTGAGCTACACCGGCTCATGATAAGAATTTTAGAGGTTACAAAATTTTAGTCGAATAATTTTAAGAGAAGAGACCATTTTGAAGAGCCAAGCATAGATGAGAGGATGACATTAACATGGCTTAATTTGAGAATAAGTTTCAGTGACGGAACGTTGTGAAAACGATAATGAAGGTTCGGAATCTGCGAAAGGTAGGGAATTCCACTGCCAACTTAGCGACTGTTAGCTTTTGCAGAAAGATTTTGTTTTATTGGGTGATTTAGTACAGAGGAAAGATGTCATGCTGTCCTTAAACATAAAAAATAAAAGAACGAACAGACAGGCGGAGCAGATTCAGAGGAATACATATAAGAAGTGTCTCCAATAATAGCCTAACTGTTTCAGGCTGGTCTGTCTCCCATGAGCTTGCCCTTCAACCTAGGCGCTCTCTTATTCCTCTGCGTTTCGTCGTCTGGTTATCTTGTGCGACCTAATGCTGTCACCTTTCCCGAGAAACATCGCCAAGAGTATCGAAGTCTTCATTTGCAGGAAACACAGGTGCAGTACATTAAAAAGTACAGTTTCTTTAGAAATGTTTCAAGATAAAAGAGATTTGCTGTACTTATTCGATTTCTGGAAGGAGGTTGGTTACATTCATCCGATGGATATTTGACACATTCAGTTTACTTAGGATGGACATAACTTTGAAAATAATTTGTCGAGAAGGTTTCCTGTTTAAAAATAAAATTTTCACATATTGAGTTTAACTAAATGTGCCAGACCTTAAAAATAACTTCTTTCGCACATTTCGTAAATAAGTCTCCACATGACCACTTTGCATGGACTTATTGATTCATTTTGAAAAACTAACCTGATTTGAAACTGCCAAGATTAAAACAAAAAAATGATAATGAGGCTGATATGTATGTAATTTACATAGAAACAAAATAAAATTACATTTCTACTGAGTTCAATATCAGTTCTTGTGAAAGAACTGTCATTATGTGTTTATGGGAACTTATGTGGTTTTAAACAACTTTCAGGTTTAATATTTAAGAGTATTTTTACTTACTAGGAAGAATCTCCCCCGACTTCAAACTTAAATGATAAAGACGAGGGAATGGAGAAAAATGTACTATCTGAAGTAAAAATAGTATAATCAGAAGATATTGTGAGGCGCAAAGAACCATGTCACAACGGGAACTCGCCAGCCTCTGCATCCAGTCTGTTACTGCCCGTCCACAACTCTGAGTAAACTGGCTGAAGAAGCTGTTCATGGTAAGAAATGTCCTTCGACTTAAGTGATTGTTTATCTTCATCACTTTTCACTATATTTTTGATAAACCTTTTAATAATAAACTCAATGCTTTCGCCATGCAGTCTTTGAGCACGAGGGTCACGATTTCGAATCCTGCTCGGC